GATTTCAGCAGGAATTTCTCAACCAGCCTGCAGAATTCCTCCACTGTAGAAACTGCAGGCCCAGAGTGGGTCACTGACCTTTCCCTCTTCAGGAAAGGGGGAGTCCTAGGGTCACCCGGCTCTGACCCCAGCCAGTTCTAAGCTTCGATGATAAGGCTTTTCCCTAGGTGGCAGCACAATCTTTAACTGGCAACTCTCATTTGGTTTTAAGACTCCCTGTGAAAGGTCTTCTGCACCTGAACTGAGTGTGAAAAAGCAAGCCAATAAACCACATTGAAGCAAAAGAGCTGCTGCTTCCTCTAAGGGACCTTTATCCAAGTGTGTGAACAAGTGGGCCCACTAACGCACCCGACTAAGACCTCACCCCACCACTGAAATGCTCATCTCCCATCTCCTACCGCCTGAGACCCAAAGGCAGGGTCTGTGCAGCTGGGCCAACTCCACTGGGATCCCCATTCCTGTGCTTCCAGTGCACACACCACACCTGATGGGTGTGCTTTTCTCAGCACTAAACTAACAGAATTCACTGATTCTTCAGGAATCAAATGGGCAAGTGGGTCTCCAAAAGGAAAAGAAATCACCATATTCTAAGGCGCAGCGGTAGAACAGAAACTGTGCCCAGGCCAGCCCATGGGTCTCTCTAGAGCCATCACTGATGGCCCCTGGGAGAGCAGGAGGGGCTGCTGAGTGTACGTGGTGTGTGGTGGAGACCGCACAGCACACACCTGGCCCATACTTGGCGCAGGGGGCAGTTAAAGGCACTGGCATGGATTCACTTTAGACATAGATATGACTTTGAATCCTGGTTCTGCTTCAGACTAGCTACATAAACTCAGGCCTATTATTTAGCCTCTTAGAATCTGTAAAATCCGAACGGTGCCCACCTCATGGGCACGTGGAAAGGATTCAAATGAACCGGTGAAGATAAAGGCCTCAGCAGTCCAGGGGCTTACTCACTGGGAGTTACCAGTATCACCGATACGTGCATCCAACTCCTTGAGTCGTCTGCTCTACCACCAGGTGGCCTCAGCTCATCACACTTGGAAGGGGGCCACCACTTTGCCCAAACTTGGCTGCAGGCTTCCTCAACCCCTCGGCTTCCCTTTTTTTGCCCAGGGTCCCCTGTCCATCAGCCACACCACAGGTTCCCTGACCACGAGGCACAGTTCAGTGTGCACAGATGCACACACCCAGCAGCTGGGAAGGAAACTGGCATCAGACACCTGGACTGTGGATCCCAACTCTGCCATTTCCTGGCTGGGTGACCTTGGGGCAAGTCACTTACCCTTTTTGAGTGTCGTGTTTCAGATTATGAAATAGGAAACATCTCCTTCCTTGTAAGATAATCAAGTGCTCAAGGGCCATTCACTATTAAAGACACGCACACGAACCAAGAGTCACATGTGATTCTAAGAAGACAGTCACGCGGTTCTTTGGTGTCTTCAGGTCTGCCCATTTCCGGGTCTGAGGGTCAGAACTAGCCTGAGGCTTTTGCAAGTTGCCCAGAGCTCACTTAACCACAGTGTCATTTCAGCAGAGAAGGCTTTGATTATTAAAAACACGTTTAATGAAAATCAAGCTTCAGAAGTGAAATGCCTACCCATGTGCAAAGAGGGGGAGCTGGTCCTAGAACCAAGGTGCCTGGCAGTCACCCCAGTGGCTTTTGAGGGCTTCAGCCACTTGAGAAGTTCTGTCATAGTCCTCCTGCCAGCATCTGGCCACGTGGGGTGGGGTGGACAGTCAGCCTCATGGCCCCTGCCAGGGAGTAAGGCCCACTCGGGACCCCAGGTGTCGTCATGCTGCTTGTCACCTAAGCAGAGCAGTATGGAGCCTGGGACCTGGCAGGGCTTGTTTGGAGAGGGCAGTGCCAACACTTAGGAGAGGAGCAAGACGCCACCACAGTCTCGTTGGAAGAGTGGCGGCACACTCTGGCATCACACCCGAGACTGGGTGTGCCAGGCACGTAGCTATCGGGGCAAGTGAGGCACTTGGACGCTCAGTGAGGAACGCCTCTGGAGGTGGCCTAGATCCCAGGGCTCTGCTGGGTACAATGCACCATGACTTTGGCATGTTTCATGGCAAGCTAGAGAGGGAAAATAGCTGAGCAAGTGCCCTGCCGAGAGAGCAAGGTTGAACCTGCCCAGGGACAGGCAGGCAAGCCTGGACCCGATGAGGGAAAGGAAAGGAGGCTCGAGGCACCCCTGCTACTCCTCCGTGGGACAGGCTGTTCTTGGGACAGCAGGTTACCAGGGCTCATAAGGCTGTCCGACAGCACGTCAGTCATAGGGAAGGGCCGGGATCCAGGCCCCAGTTGCAGCAGCAGCTAGAAGGGCACATACAACGCACGCAGACACAGAATGCAGCGACGGGTAACAACAGCAACGGGCAGCCAGCTCCTCAGCTTCTCCTCTGCAGAAGCTCTGCCATTGTGCCCTGTCCTTCCATCGCCTCCCCGTGTTCCCGCCCAGCCTGGTGTCCAGATGGGCTGGATGGAGGTAACAGAGCAGATGAAGCCTGGCTCGGGGCAGCGGCCTAAACTTCAAGGGAAAGCTGAGGAAGCATCGGCTCCCTCACTTTTCACGGTACGGACTGCACTCGATTCCCAGGTCATCTGAGCTCTCGGGGTTCTCTGCCACAGCCCTAGGGGTGTAAGGGGAAATGAGCCTGACTTCACGCGAGCAGGAGCGGCGTGAGCAGCCAGGGCAAGGAGGGCCTGGGATAAACGAACGACCTGAGAAGTCAACGCCAGGAAGAGGTGGAGAAGCCAAAGCCACCAAGAAAAGCATGTGGGCAGCAAGCTGTGGAGAGAGCAGGTCCACCACGGAGACGAGGGGAGACTGGATGAGAGCCCTGGGGAGAGCAGAGCTTCTGAAGGAGTCCAGACTGCACCACCAACCGCTCCTGGCAGCGCCTTCCTGCTTCACTCCCCACCGTGCAACAGGGCCTGGAAAGACAGGCAGATGCACGCAGGTTAATGGCATAACGTCAAAATGGCCCCTGACCTGCAGGAGTCACACCAGGCCTGAGATGCTCAGACCCCAACCTGCAGGGCGAGTCCCAGCCCACGCCACCACACCTTTCAGAGAAGCTCCAAAGCCCCTCAGCCAATACACACCCCATCTCACCATGTCCCTCAGGTGCCTGCGTGGCCAAGAACAGGCAAAACGTGCTGCAAGCACTCAAACTGTCACCAAGCACCCACTAGATAAGCTCCCATCCCACCCGATGAACCCTAAAGCTGAAGAAGTAGAAATTACCATACAGCCGTCCTCACGCTCAAGCCCGTCCTTGGAGAAGACAAGGCTACACTTCCCCTCGTGAAACCACAGCAATCTGGGGAGGGGAGTCACCCCCATCCTCTCCCAGCGGACAGGCCCCCAGGAGCCTGAGCCCGAGCAGCTGCGTTTGCTGCAACGGCCAGGAGGTGCTGGGTTGCCACTGGTGCGCCCCATCAGCCAGCCTAACCCCACCTTCAAGCAGCTTGGTTTCCCACCACGTTACTGGGTTGGTCTTCCCGGCAAAGCCCAAGTCTTTACTGGGTGACCCTTCCCTAGACCTGGCCCTACCCCAACCTGGAATGGGAGACCAAAACCCCATACCTGTCTTTCGGCCTGCATCCCCAGCTCTGGGCGCTTCCAAGATGAAGCCAGCAGGATATAGAGCACCAGCAGCCCGAAGACCACCACCAGCATCCCAGAGCAGTTGGCAAAGACAGCCTCACTGGGCAGGCTGGAGTATGAGTTGGTGCCATTTTTCCTGAGGATGACAAAACAATGTGGGCGCTCAAGAAACTTTTCTACCTGTTTTTGCCCAATGCGAGGCTCAGTGCCACTAACAGAGGATAAGAAAAGCTTCCCAGGACCTGCTGTGACCTGGAATATTAACATACTTTCCAAGTCCCTGCCATGACAAGTGTCTGCAGAATGCTTTTTCCCTGTAAGGAAGCTAAAGCTCCCAGACATGAAATCAACTTGTCCAGGGTTTACATAACTAGGAAATGGCACAGCCAAGATCTACACCCAGGTCTGACCTCAAATCTTGTTTGCTTTTCACTGCACCCCCACTACTTCAAAGAACAAAGAATGGCAGTGGTTAGGCATGCAGCCTCTAGTCCTAACACAAAGCTCTGCCACTTACTGGCTGTGCGCCCTTAGGTGCATTACTAAACCTCTCTGTGCCTCTGTTCCCTAATGTATAAGTGGCAATGACAACAAGTGTTGTAAGGCAGTTAGAGGATTAAATTTAAGATGTTTAGAAGAGTTTCTGCCACAGAGTAGGTTCTAAATCACTTTGATGCTGGGTATTTGCTGACCAGTTTACCAATCTCAGCCTAAAGAAAGACCGATTCCATTAACCTTCCAGATCAGGAACAAGCCCCATCCCAAAAGCTTCCCTCCCTTGGATGGGTCCTATGATCATCGAGTGCATCTTCTGAAGACCCTGTTCCTTCCCCTCCACCCTAGAGTTGGGGGCGCCGTCCCACTCACAGACTGGAGAAAAGCTTCTCATTGATGCCGGAAATGACAGATGCAATGGCCAGAGAGAGAATGGAGGCTCCAAAGAAGACGTGGATGGGTTTAAGGAGGCTGCGCAGACGCACGGACGCCCAGGGCAGCAGGAAGACCGCAAAGCCCAAGAACCACTGTGGACACAGGAAATACCTGATTGTACTGTGTGTGACCAAAGGTGCGCCAGGTCATCCCACCCACCAGTGCCTCCTACCCATCAGTGAACCCTTGCCCTTATCTCCCAGCTCAAACCTCCCACCAGGCATTGCCCCAGCACCACACCTAGCCTCCTCACTAGGGTCTGTTTGTCTTACACAAAGGAATGTAGGAATGTTACCTACATGAAATGCTTAGCTATCCCCAGTCTCCCGCAAACCCAGCCATCCTTGTTCGTCTCTGCTTCCTCCC